GCAGGATATCATATTTTCCGACGTGACTACCTCAGCCAATTAGGGCGTGCTAAGCATTAATCTAAATTAATTAATAACTCGTTAACTACCGCTTATATTAAGAAATGACACAAGACCTTTCACCTTGGTTTGAGTTATATTATCTACCACTTCAATATCTGGCTGTTGATGTGAGACACTCTATATTCATAGCGTCGTATACCCACGGCGTCAACTTTTATAACATATCTCGAGAATAGGATCATTCCACGTCTGTAATGTGTAAGCTTTTGAAAATAAGGTCATTACTTTAACGTCGTCTAGATAAGATGAGTTCATTTAATCTTTAATTGCGTCATTAACCTTTCACATACGCTTACTTGGGACTATTTCACTGAACTTCATGACAATTGGTGAGTTGACCCTTTTGAAAAAGTAGCAGCAATTCTCTCTAAATAGACGCGTTTTTCTAAAAGTCTCGGAAAGGTGGAAAGAATTGTTATAATAAACGCGCACCTTGAGAAAAAGTCGCGCAAAAATTTGCTCAAATTATGAGATATTAAATATTAGTAGAGAATATATTAAATAACAAGGGAAATGATTAAGCAGAGATTAATAATCGAAAGACGTTATAGTTTTAACCTTCTATTTTTAATTAAGTTTTTAATTACTTCTGAATAGTCTATGCTCTCGCAAGCACGTCGTCGTGCACGATCGACGCCACGGCGTCAGCGAAATTACACTCCACCGACGGAAAATTCCAACGACTAATTAAAAAACAGGAACACCGAGGGCAAAAATGACGTGCGTCGCACTCGCGAGGCGCTTCACTTTTACGACGCGTGTTAGAAATCAAAGATCACCGCGGCACTCGCGTAGGTCGAATTTCTTTCCGGTAACGATGAAAGGTTAAACCGCGGCGACCCGGTCGATTTAATGGGGAGACCGTGTGAAAAATGCACACATTATGTTGCGTTACGTTACGTCGATGCACGTGTGTAACGTGCGCCGTGCCATCGGAGAGAAGAGGAGGTTAATACCATCCATGGTCGTACGTCACGTACACGATGGCGTTTAGCGGTTTTGCGTTGTAGTGTATCGCGCAAATAAACGTGATTACGTGCGTACTTGAATATGTTACGGTAACCGAAATGGATAAATCAATTCCTACGTGTACGCGTGAATGCGGCGGGGGGGGGGGGGGAGGGG